CAGTTTATGGAATTATCTAGATTGTGAAGGATTTTTTGACCAACAAAAAAAAAACTTTTTTATAAAGAGAAAATTTTCATATACTAATAATAAGTAGTACATTTCAGTAATGATAATCATCAAAATCGAAGATTTTTAGGTGAATTTATCTTTTTTTTTTAGGTGAATTTATCAGTCCTACTTTCTAAAAGCTTAGCTTTACTTTGACGGGTTTGCTTTTTAATCCGCGTTGGAAGACAGTGCGAAGCCAGCTCAATTGATATCACGTGCACGTGTTCCACAGTCCACACCTACAATCCCCTAATCAACCTCCTAAACGTTGCTACATGGCAGTTGGCAGTGCTGGTTAATTAGGCTATGGGTTCTCAATTGGAGTTTGGGCGTTCTTTACCTTTCGATTTGGATGGGCCGTTAAGATTGGATCTACTTGTTAGCCCAACATTTCTAGGCTTCAAAAACTGTGCTTCCGGTGCACTTATTGGATCAGTCTACTCAGTAGTACTAGAAACAAGCAACTCGTAACAATCTGATGTACCTATATATCTGTACCTCCCATGGCCTTCAGTTGTATAGGATAGCTTCCAGTAGTATAAGATTAGGCCCATGCTCAACCTTGTTTGGGTTACATTAATGTGATGCTGTTATTTTGATTTTTATTAATGTGAAGTGAAGCCATCACAATTTTCAGTCTTACCCGGGGAGCTTCCGTACAAAAGCCTCCTTTTATCACCGAAAAGATAAAAAGACTTCATCATGCACCTAGGCCCGTTTGTATTGAGGGGATGGGAAGGAAAGCAAAGGAGAGGAATTAGAGAGATTTGGATTGATTTTTAAGGATGGAAAGGAAAGGATTCAGAGGGAAAGGGTCTAGTTGTTTTATTGAACTACATTTAGCACCAAAGAGTGGTCGAGAATGGAAGAAAATAAAATAAAATTAATTGAAACAACTTAAATTTTTTTTAAAAAGCCAATTTTTTCTATCTTTTCTAGTAAATTAACACTTAATCTTTTACTTTCCTCTCTTTTCCTTCTTTGATTCAAAGAAAATTTCAGTATTTCCTTTCTTTTCCTTCCACGCTTAACTCAAACAAGATGGATAGAAGCCACCTCCCTGTCTTTGCCATCGGTATCATTTCCCTTCCTTTCCGTCAATCCAAATGGTGCATCAAGTATTGGAGGGATGGCTGCCCGAGGAATCAACAATTTCCGACTCTTTGCACCAATGCACTTTGAATATTTTTCTTAAGTTTTTCTTTTCTTGGGAAAACTAAAAAAGTTTATTGCCATAAATAAAGCTTCATTTTGTATATTTTCTTTTGTGCTGCTCTTTGCTTGGGAAAGAAAAAGTCAAGCGTATGCTTTATCCGAGCATACAGAAACTCTAAACGTGAGGAAATCATGGTTGGCCCCGTCGAGTTTCAGGGAGTCGTTCGGCCCAAGCGAGATAAATTTCTTGCTTGGCGAAGCAGGAGCATTGCCACCATGCCAAGAAAAGTGGAAAGCATCAAGTCGGACCACTATGCAATCTTTTCCCTTTTTTTTTTTTCAAAAAGGAAAAAAAAAAAACCAAGCTTTGCGTGCGATCTTAAAATCTACTAATTTCTAATTCAGTTTTTACATTGTAAATTTACATGCATTTGGCACACTAACATGAGAAGCTGTTAGGATAATTGCGATTTGAGACATTTATATAGGAAATTAGCGTTCACTATTTGATGAATCAGCTGAATTTGGAACGGAATAGTTGCAGCAGCTGTTTACGAATATAAACAAACACCCCCCCCCACCAAAACAAACAAACAGAAAAAAAAAAAAAAAAAGAATCAAATCCCAGAGAAGTTGAGCTTTTCTCAAGTTGGTTGCGGTGTCTCTGTTTATTTTCAGAATTCTTGGTTACTGGAATGACACCAACACCGACATTCTGCTCCAGACTCATTAGCCTTTTACTTGATGATTCAAACTCCTACTTTCCCAGTTCTGACTCAGGACGCTTGTGCTGTGGGTTCATCATGAAAAACTCCTGCTTTCTACTTTCTAGACCTCTTCACTTTCTTATTTTTATTGATTTATTTTTGGGGGTAGAATCAGATATGAAGTTGGTGAATTGGTGCCTTGCCTTCATTTTCCTAATTAACCACATTGACGTGAAGAGCAGTGGTTAGGTTTTAACTACAAAGTCTAGAAAGTTTCGATGTGGTACTGGTAATTTTCTGGTACCTGTCAACTTCTATAGTAAGCAATTTTCTAGTACCTGTCAACTTCTCTAACCGAAGCATGGCCGCTCCGATGTACTGCTCATTCTCAAAAATCCACCAAATCTTTGCTTCCAGATGCAGAAACTCTTTAACAACATCATTCAAAACATGTAAGAAACACACCAATGATAAACCAACAACCAGTTGGTATTTGGTAAAGCCCTCCCGAGTCCCGACTTTCAAATACTTCCCTTTGCGCATCTCTTTCCTTGGTTAGCATCTCAGTCTCCACCTGGGTAGATAGTTGCCAACAAACTGGTTCTTTGATAACCCCAGTTCAACCCTACATTGCATGCCATCATCAGTTTGATATCGAATGAGACAATTACAAAACGCTCGTATCGAATGAGAAAAAACTGATCAAAATTTCTCGGACGAAAAATGATCAGTCCTGTTCTAGCAGGCTGCTTCCTTCTCCTCCTTCCTTTTGCAGGTATTACCAAGTTGATTTCTCGATCTCAGTTGCATTTATTATTGAGCATTTTCTACGTAGTTCCACGTAACTTTTGTGGTTTTTTTGCAGCTGCGTACGACCCGTTGGATCCAAATGGGAACATAACAATCAAATGGGATGTAATGTCTTGGACTCCGGATGGCTATGTGGTGCGTCCTCTTCCCCTTCCTCGCTAGTATGATATTACGTTATAGATAGAGTGAATTGATGAGTAATCTTGATGCTTTCCCAAGGCTGCTGTGACGATGAACAATTTCCAAATGTACCGGCACGTCATGAGTCCTGGCTGGACGCTGGGATGGACGTGGGCTAAGAAAGAAGTAATTTGGACTATGGTGGGTGCGCAAACCACTGAACAAGGTGACTGCTCCAAGTTCAAAGCCAACATCCCACATTGTTGCAAGAAGACCCCAACCGTTGTAGACCTCCTCCCTGGTGTTCCTTACAACCAACAATTCACCAACTGCTGCAAAGGTGGAGTCTTGTCTTCCTGGGGCCAAGATCCACAGGCTTCCGTTTCTGCCTTCCAAGTCAGCGTTGGCCAAGCGGGTACTTCAAACAAGACTGTCAAACTTCCCAAAAACTTCACTTTGCTCGGTCCAGGACCAGGTTATACCTGCGGCCCTGCAAAGGTGGTTCCTCCAACCAATTTTCTCACTCCCGATCGTCGCCGCAAAACTCAGGCCCTGAGTATGATGGCCCTTCTCCTTAACAACTGTTTGATGGTTTTTGGCTCTGCAAGTCATCTCTACTAGTAGTTATCGATTTCCCCCTCAATGCATGCTTGCTTTCTCTCTGCAGTGACATGGAACGTGACGTGCACCTATTCCCAGTTCTTAGCTCGAAAACACCCCAGCTGCTGTGTTTCCTTCTCGTCCTTCTACAATGAGACGATCACTCCTTGCGCATCTTGTGCTTGCGGTTGTGAAAACAAGAAAAAATGCATCAAGTGAGCTCACGTCTATCTAATAGTAGTACCAAAACAATATATATCATTTGCCTGTTCACTGTATCATGTAAAGGATCCCAACTCAAATGCCTAATGATGCAGGAGCGACTCCAAGCTTCTTAGCGTGGTTGGAATAAACACTCCGAGAAAAGATAATGCACCGCTGCTCCAGTGCACGCACCACATGTGCCCTGTCAGGGTGCACTGGCATGTGAAGATCAACTACAGGGATTACTGGAGGGCAAAGATAGCAATCACTAACTTCAATTACCGGATGAACTACACGCAATGGACTCTCGTCGTTCAGCATCCCAATCTCAACAACGTGACTGAAGTTTTTAGCTTTGATTACAAGCCACTCGAACCCTACGGAGCCATCAGTAAGTGACATGCATTTTTTTGTCTTGCAAAAAGGGGGAGAGTGCTAGAAGATGTCGAGCTGACATGAATGTAATGTGAAATGCAGATGATACAGGGATGTTTTATGGCATGAAATTCTACAACGATCTGCTAATGGAAGCAGGACAATTTGGAAATGTCCAATCTGAGGTACTTCTTCGAAAGGACAAGGACACTTTTACACTCAAGCAAGGATGGGCATTTCCCCGGAAAGTATACTTCAATGGTGATGAGTGTATGATGCCCCCGCCAGAAGCCTATCCATTCTTACCAAATTCTGCAAATCAAAACCCAGTTCGTTTCTCAACATGGATATGTTCAGTTCTTACACTTCTAATTGTATGGATATGGTAATCATATCCTAGTTTTGATTATTTGAACATTACTGTTAAGTTTTGAAGCAGAGAGACACGGCTGCAGAAAAGTTGGAAGCCCAGGTACACATTTAATGAGTACTTTGCTAAGAAGAAACAAACGCTTAATCTTAAAGATGTATATGCTCAGTCAACAACTAAAGAGGTTGTAATACAAAAGACATACACCCAACACTGTATTTATGCAAATATATCATTCGTTACTTTATGAGATCTACCTTTTTTTTTTTGGTAAAATAATTTTATGAGATCTATTGCTCATCGTTTCAAGCGCTTGGTGCATGCGCGGCTGCATCAAGTAGCCACTAGACTTTTGGCCTGGCGGTCACCATACAAAACTCAAGTCTTGATAATATAAAAGGTCAACTCTTGCCTCCCATTAATTTGCCACTATATGTGGCGATCTTAATTGACTATTTTCAATAGAATCTCTGCTCACATCAAGTCCCGCTCCCCCACCTCTTACTCCTAGATTAGACTAGATTATGTTACAGGAATTCTACCGTTGCGCCAAAACAAAAAACAAAAAATAAACCTTAGACAAGTCAATGTGTCGAAAAAAAATTAGATTAAGGTACTACAAGCGTGCATTATCTTCTGAATGGCTCTATTATGTAGACAATGTCAAGAAAACAAGAGCAGAGAGCTGAAAAATACAAGTCAAAATCATCTTTGCTATCAGCTATATATGTCCTCGAGTGGTATTTATTAACACTAAGAACTAAAAAACTATAAACAATACAACGTGGTACAACAAACATGGCATGGCACGAACTGTCACAAAAAGGAGGTTGGCAGTGTGTTCACCAATCTTTGCTGTAAGAAGAAGATGAAACCGATGGTTTTTCCAAATTTATGCACTTGGCAGCTATGCATTCCTAGACATCTTTGATGCGGTGTCGACTCTTCAATTGGGCTCCCTCAGCTGCAGGCTTGACACAGCTGCTTAAGCTACTGCTAGAAATGCAGCATTCTTAAAGACAAGTAAAGAAGAATGCAATAGATGACAAAAGAGCGGTCACTAGCACAACAATGGAGATATCTCGTCGAGAACCGCCATTGGGTAAATACGGATAAGAATCCGGAGGCGGCATTACACAGTTATCTCCATTGAAATAGATTCTTCGAGGAAAAGCCCAACCCTTGTCAAATGTGAAAGTTGATTTATCCTTCCGGAATAGAAGTTCTGACTGTACATTTCCATAAGGACCAGCTTCCATGAGGAAATCATTGTAGAACTTAATTCCAAAAAGCATGGCGGTATCATCTATCAAAGGAAAGAAGAATGTTAGGTTTATCAAGTCGACTTAGACTCCCAATACTTGAGGTATAGAAAAACCTCCAGATTATAAATATATAAGCCGTAATGCTTATTGCTTCCCCCAAACCCCAACCAAAAAAATGAAAACAGAGGAAACCCAAAAGGACAAGTAACTTAAGACCCAAGATAGCTTCCATAGATACCATAGGACTTACTTATAGCTTGATAAGGAGTTAATGGCTTGAAGTTGAAGCTGAATATCTGAGTCAGGTTATCAAAGTTGGGGTGTTGGACGACTAAATTCCACTGTGAGTAATTCATTCTGTAATTGAAGTTTGTTATTGTGACCTTAACCCGCCAATATTCCTTGTAGTTGACTTTCACATGCCAGTGGACGCGAATTGGGCACATATGACTCGTGCATTGGATAAGAGGTGCTAAGTTGTTGCTCTTCCCATGGTCTGAAACAACTGAAGCTAGATGTGGCGCATCAGCGCTGCAGGAGCAAAGGCAAACAAAAAAAAATAAAAATTATATCAGAGACTTTTACAGAAACTAAAAATGAAAAGGAAAAGAAGCAAAATGCTTAAAGGAACTTACTCTACACAACTCCCTGGATGAGAACCATTATTTTGGCAGCCACACGTGCAAGTTGGGCACGGTACAATGGTATCATTATAAAACGATGAGAGTGAAACACAGCAACTCGGAGTTTTCTGAGCCAAGAACTGAGAGTATGTACACGTAACGTTCCATGTCACTGCATAACAAGATAATCATTTACAACCGGATCTTTTAGAGGCTAAAATAGAAATTTACCTTCAGTCACACAATGAAGATACTTTTAATTGCAAGCATGACTAGGAATTGATGCACTTTTCCATCAGTCTCCGCAATGCCACCATAATGAAATCTTCAACATCTCTAAATTCTAAAATGCTTTCTACAGAAATGAGTGCATGATGAATTTGGCTATTGTGCTGGTGCCTCAAGAATAACAAGGTACATAAACAAGCGCATTAAAAGCAAATAACAAAAAGGGTGTTGACTTACTCATTGCCTGTGTTGTCCTCCTTCCATCTGCGGTGGAAAATTTCGTAGGTTTACCAACTTTAGCTGGTCCACATGTATATCCAGGTCCAGGTGCTTTTAAAGTGAAGTTTTTAGGCATCCTAACTGTCCTGTTGGTTGTTCCTGAAGAACCAACACTAACTTGGAAAGCACTAACAGCAGTTGCTGGATCTTGAACCCATGAGTTAATCACACCTCCCTTGCAGCAATTTGCTATTTGTTGGTTGTAAGGCGTTCCAGGAAGCAAGTCAACTACCGTTGGGTCTTTCTTACAGCAATGTGGTGTGTTCAATTTGAATCTTGAACAATCACCTTGCTCTGTAGTTTGGGCTCCCACCATACTCCATATGACTTCTTTCTTTGCCCATGTCCATCCCAAAGTCCAACCTGGTGCCTGAATGTGCCGATATTGCTGGAAGTTGAACATTGTGACAACAGCCTGGCAAATTCATTTTATTAAATCAGTAAATGCAGCAAAGGTTACAAGTACAACATTACAACTAAAGTTGCTAAAAACATGGTGCCATTAGAGTGTAATACTGCGGTTGGGCCATATAATCCCTATACATCAAGAATGGGTCCAAATTAAGATCTCTTGCGCTCTCAAGTCAAGTCATAAACAATACATGCAGGTGTAGTGCCCATCTGTGCACATGAATGTGTTAGTGCCCGTCTGTGCACAAAAGAGAGTACATACCACATAGCCATCTGGCGTCCAAGTTATAACGTCCCATTTGATCGTGATGTTCCCGTTTGGGTCAAGTGCATCATAAGCTTCTGGAAGAGAGGCAGGGAAGGCGGAGAAAAGATTTAGATCAACATCAATCTTCTTGGTTCATATACCATTTTAGAAGACTAAACTCCTACTTAAGTTTTTAAACATCTCTAGATGTCACAACTTATTAGCAAATATAAGAAGAAACAACGTAGCACATCAAAGAGTTAATTAGAGCCACCTGCTATCACATCGTGCCACACATAGTTCGTCACTCCAACTAAATGCTAGAATTGGCAGATAATTTAAATTAGTATTACTTGATTCTGGAACAACTCCATGGACTAAGGTGCAAAATTAAATCGTTTAGTAAAGGCTCGATTTTTTGTACCCCAAAATCTCCCCTTCATGTGACATCAAGCATGAATCAACCAAGTATGGAAATTCAGAATTGGGATCTCAAACAATCAGCTATCAAACTTGAATAAGAAATTCCAGGCTAGCTCATGAAGATATAAAGCCAGTGCTTCTTCTTGTCATTTCCGCAAGACAGTCACAAAACAGAAAGCATCTTGTATTCAAACCAAGGCTCTAGCAAACAAGCGGAATATAGAAATCCTGTCTCCCAAAAACCCATTAAAAAGAGAGCAAAGAGTTGCATGGAAAGACAAAAAGATCTGAGCTTGATGATTAATTCATTTGCATTCTCCCATTCTTCGACCAATTAACCAAGTTGCCATATCCGTGACATAATTGTGACGTTGTCAAAATCCCATTTCATCAAAATCAAGAAGCAACAGAAAATTCCCGAATTTAGAATCATTACACGAGATAAGGAAGAAATGGACGCACCTGTCGTGGTAAAGCTGAAGCAAGAAAGGGAAAGTAGCACCACAATGGCACATGCTGTAAATTTGGATAGAGATCTAAAGCAGGAAGAATCCATATTTGTTTTCAGCAGCAAGTTTTCTTGCTTGGCCACCGCTCAAGATTTGGCACCGAAGTGAATATTGGTTGGGAAGCAAAGAGAAAAGAGTAAGCGAGAGAGAAAACGCGGCGGTGAGCTGTCTCTGGTCAGCACTAACACTACCTGGCTATGCCTAAGCTCCCTCCCTCCCTCAACTCACTCACATGGAGCTTTACTACTTTAAAGAGGTTTCTGTGGACTTTGTTGAGCAAGTCTTTCTTTAACCACCGCTGGTCATAGAATTCTTTCGTAATAGTTCCGGTGATTATGACAAATTAATAGTATTTAGTTATGTCACTTTCATAATGGTCTGTAGGCTTATAATTCTTTCCTTTCAGTAGCCATTCATAAACTAAAAACAGAGAAAGGAATGCTAAGCAATTAAACCAAAGAATCCCACCTGCATTTTCAAAAAAAAAAAAAAAAAAATCCCACCTGCAAAAAAAAAAAAAAAAAAAATCTAGGGGTGATTCCAAAACATCCCTTTAATTTAGTCACATCTATACATTTATTAATCCTTAACACAAGTGTTTTTAAACTGCCCTCCGCTGTATATTAGAATAGAATAGATTATATAATTATTATCATTATCAAAAAAAAAACTTGATAATACCACCTAAGAAAAAAAAAAAAGAGTACATCAAATTAGCTGAAGACGTTACCCAACAAGTAAGGATGCGGAGAGTTTTTTTTTTTGGGTGCCTCTTTCCTAAATCATGTTGGATTTTTCTTTCCTTTTTATTTCTTTTTTAATAATGATTTAGGATACCATAGTTTTGTAATTTTTTTTTTAAAAAAAAATTGTTTGTAGCCAGTGATGGTACCCTTAATTCAAATACAATAATGTTTAAATCTCTCTTCTTCAATTTTTTTCCCCTTCCCATTGTTAAAACACCAGCCAATACTTCATCTGGTCAGATTGGGAAGATACTACGTCGCAATCAAGGGCATTGAATTTCACAGGTAGTGCTGCTAGTACCCACTTGCCGACGCCGCCGACACTGGGACAAAAGAGTTTCTTTTTTTAAAAAAAAAGAAAAAACAATTTTTCTCTAAGGAGAATTAAACACGGAATATATCTTAATTTACCTTCAACCACTGACTATAATTTTTTCATATCAACTCTCATCTCATGTATTATTACCTTCAACTTTCATCATTATTCTCTCTCTCTCTCTCTCTCTCTCTCTCTCTATATATATATATATATATATATATATATATATATTGATCCATATTGAACAGTTTATGGAATTATCTAGATTGTGAAGGATTTTTTTACCAACAAAAAAAACTTTTTTATAAAGAGAAAATTTTCATATACTATACGTTTTTAGTTAACTGCACAAAGATTAGTATTTGCCTTGTTGAAATAAAATGAAAGCATAGAACTCCGTAACAAGTGTAGTAATTTTTTTATTTTTTTATTTTTTAATAAGATGGATGATTGGGAGGCTTAGGCCCTTTAATGATGAATAAATTAAACGCATTTAGCATTTCTAGTGTCGGTGGTGGCTTTAAGATTATACTACTAAACAAAGAAGTTTAGAAAAGGGCAAATAATAATTTGACCAAGTCGGGGTGGGGGCCCGCGTTACCCTTTTTTTCCACCTTACCTAAACAAATAAATTAACAGGACGATAATGAAATGCCGCTAAACTATTAATCGACGGTCGCATTTCCTTTGTCAATTTGTACCGTCATGTTTGGGTTGGATTTTTTTTTTTTTGAATTTTTTGTTAAAAAAATTTATTATAATAATTTAATATAAGTGAAATAAAAAATAATTCAAAAAAACCTAACAATAATAATATTTTTTTAAAAAATTACTTTTCAAACAAGCCGTGAGATTTTTAGGTGAATTTATCAGTCCTACTTTCTAAAGTGAGGTTAACAAGATACTGCGGTAGCTTAGCTTTGCTTTGACGGGTTTGCTTTTTAATCCGCGCTGGAAGACAGTGCGAAGCCAGCTCAATTGATATCACGTGCACGTGTTCCTCCCGGATAAACAAAAGCAAAATCTCCACACCTATAATCCACTAATCAATTCCCTAAACGTTACTACTTGGCATGTTGGAACTACTAGTTTGAAAACCAAAATCAAAAGATGGTGACGGATTGAGAGTTGCAACTCTGTCGTGGATTATGACTGGCTTCTGGGTGGCATGTCTTGGTTTAAAAAATTAAAAAAAAAAAAAAAGTGTGAATGGCCTCTATACTCACCACAGGCCACAGCACGAATTAGGATACGTCCAAATCACACATAAGGATTTTTACAAATTGTTCGTTATATTTTTATGGAAAATTATATATTAAGTGAAATATGATTTAAACAACATGAATAAATTAAAAGATCGTTTACTTATTTAATTTTATGAGTTTTTATGTTTGTATTTATGGTTTGTAAAAATGACCAGCTTCATCCATCAGATTTTATTAAAATATTTTTTTCATCCCTCACTTTTAAAATAAAACAAATTCGTCCATGACATTTAAAAACTGAAGCTGTTAGATCCCTAAAGTCAGCTTTCAATCTCATTCCAACCACCTAGTAACTCAGTTACAAATTTTGGGGGAAAAATTGGTAGATCATTTGATTAATTCAATTTGATATTCACGTGAAATTTAATGAACTCAAAAAAGAAAAATTAAAAAATTCTAACATAAAAAAGAAGAATTAATTTTTCCTATATTGTCATGTATACGTTGACGAGTCTAAATACCTGCCACACCATTTCAATTTATTGTATGAATGTATATATACTAACAATGCATGAAAAAATTTATCAAAAAAATAAACTCTACTATATCAAGCCAAAGTACAGTCTTTCTATGTTATAATTTTTTAATTTTTTTCCTTTTTTGGTTCAATAATGTCATGTGAATGTGATGGAATTGACCGAGTGATGTATCAATTCTATCCTCAAATTTCAATTTTTAAATATAAGCAATGAATTTGCTTCATTTTAAATTTAAAAGTGAATAACGGAAAAAATATTTTTACAATATATAAGAGATGAAATAGGTCATTTTCCCTTACCCTTTTATAAACATAGTACTCCCTTCGTCCCACTTTAATAGTTCTGTTTCTTTTTTCACACAGTTTAAGAAAAAGTAGTTAACTTTGTTGGAAAAGTAAATTTAGATTGCTATTTTTCTAAAATACCTTCACATTAAATATGGTACAACTTTATGGGAACTTGAATTGATGGTAAAAAAAAAAATCAACTCTCATTAATAACTACTTACATTGAATAAGGGTATTTTAGGAAAATTAAAATACAACTATATTCTTTAATTGGAAAGTAAACTACAATTTGGGACAGATGAAAAAGGAATACAGGACTATCAAAGTGGGACGGAAGGAGTAATTTTTAGTATTTTTATAGGTGGACTTTCTTTTTATTTCTTTATTCCTAGCCCAAGCCTTCTTGCCCCAATCACAAGTCGCTTTGGTTGTGCGTTGACCATTCTGTATATGCGAAGTTGCCCTTCGTTCAAGTCACGCGTGCCATTAATATTCGAAGCTTTGCTCATGTTATATATTATTGTTTTCGAGATTTTAGATTTTTTTTACCCAATTCATGCTTTAATCCTCCAAAAATGGTACCGGATTTCGGAACTATATGCATGTTTTGGAGTCGTTTTGAAAATTTGTTTTAGTCTTAAGTTTTACTTCTGTCCCCTTCTGAATTGTGATCACGGGTTAGCTATACTTTTCCCTGAAAATTAGCTGTTTGCTACTAGTTGGCTCTTCAAGTGATGTTATCGTTCAATTTTTTAATTTATATGTCAAAATGGATTATGCGTTACTCAATATGACTAAATATGAAATATTATTTGAAATAACTTGTTTGGATAGAGTGTTATTTGAAATATTATTTGGAATAATTACTGTAACACTTTTTATGATGTGATGTACGTGAAATAAAAAGATGGTTGGAAATATAAAAATGTGAGTTGTAAAATGTGTTTATAATGTAAAGGGAAAATCGTCCAAAACGTCCCTCACATTTTGTAAAATAACTTTTTTCGTCCCTTACTTTTAAAAGTGTAATTTTATGTCCCTTACATATTCACATCGGTCAAATTTAGTCCCTAACTAGGTTTCCGATTATTTTTTTGCCGGAATCCATCATGTGCAAGGCACGTGATCATTTTTGAAGGGTAAATTTATCAAATTTTGTTTTACATAATCTGATCTATAGTCCTCCACATTTTATAAAATAAATTTTTTCGTCCCTCACATTTTATAAAATGATTTTTTTTATCTTTCACATTTCATAAAATGAATTTCTCCATCCCTTACATTCCAAAAAATGAATTTTTCATTTCTCACTAATTATGTGTATGAATACATTTTTTAAAACACATGTATATGTTTATTTGATTTTTGTTTAATAATAATAGGATAAACACATGTAATTGGATCCAACTTGTGGGTTATCTTCTCTTTTTGTATGATTATGACTAACGTTTACCAATAGAATCTTAATTTGCATATTATTATTGTATTTTGACCAAAAATAGCTTCATTGGCCAACTTGACAATGAATGCCAGATTTTTTACTTGCTAATACTATATGAAATCAAATGATCACGTATAATTATATTGTTAAGTAAAATCAAAAAGACACATACGTATATTTATGCTATTCGTATTATTAAGCAAAATCAAATAGACATATACATGTGTTTAAACAAAATGTATTCACACACATGATTTTTTTTTTAGGGTTTCCCTTACACACATAATTAGTGAGGGATGAAAATATTTATTTTCTGAAATGTGAGGGATGGAGAAATTCATTTTGTGAAATGTGAGGGATGAAAAAATCATTTTATAAAATGTAAAGAACGAAAAAATTTGTTTTATAAAATGTGGAGGACTATATATTAGATTATGTAAAATATAATTTGACAAATTTACCCTTCAAAAATAATCATGTGCCTTGCACATGATGGATTCCGGCAAAAACATGATCGGAAACCTAGTTAGGGACTAAATTTGACCGATGTGAATATGTAAGGGACATAAAATTACACTTTTAAAAGTGAAGGACGAAAAAAATCATTTTATAAAATGTGAGGGACGTTTTGGGCGATTTTCCCTAATGTAAATGAAATATTATTGGAAATAATATGGTATCCAAACAAACATACATATGTTTCTCTGTTTGTTCTCCTTATTTGGT